AATTCATAAATATATATACATCCATGTACGTCGCATGTATGTGCATTCGATGAACATACGTGGAATGTATAAGAGGTACATTCTATGTATATTCTCAACATCATCTCGAATGAATATACATACCACATATATCCATACGATATTCCATCAATATTTTATAAATGTATATATATTTCTGTATATTCTATGTATGTACATGATAGATACAGGATATTTTTTTCACATTACGGACACTCCATGTATATACATAGAATATCCAATGTTTACTGGGGTATTCATTAATATAAGCTCCAATTCAACCGAATATATTTTGTTACTCTATCTTTTTTGCAAAAGTATATTCTCTACAAAAATGTCTTCTCTACAAAAGTAATGATACCAACAAATTGCGCCAAATATAACAACGGATATTTATACAAAGTAGTTGCTTTAGTATTAGTTTTTTATTAAAAATGTTATATTTCTTAAAAAATCAAACTAAAGATTTTATTGGAAAAAATAATGGAGTTAATAAAAAACACCGATGAAAAGAATAGCAACTATTTAGAAATTTAGAAACTCTGTATCTATTCAGGCGAACTAAGGCCTGTGTTCATGACGCTAGTACTTGGTCCAATTTCTAGTTTTGAGAAATGCGTAGTCATCAATTTGCAGCTTTTGGGGAACAGCTATATTGATTTGCTACATATTTCGCGTTAACCAACACGCGGCGAAAGCAACACGCTGCGAAAGCAACACGCCGCGAAAGCACCACGCCGCACAGTGGTCCCAAATCCCAAAAAGCCGGCCAAAAGTCAAAAACGTATTTAATTCGGGTGAAAGTTTGTACTCGGGGATTTTTGGGGTCGCTGACCACGAATTCGAAGTCAAATTTCGAAAAAAAATTCGCGGCTCCAGTAGAGCTAAAAAATGGCGCCATGGCGAATAATCATTAAATTTCTTTCAAATTTCCTGCATAGAGATTTTCGAAATATTTCCAAAAAATAAAATGGTATTCATTTTTTAGGAGTCTTCAACGTTGCTGATAATGAATATGAAGTCAAATTTTGGAAATTATGATTGTGAATAAATTAAATGGAAAATGTAATAAATGACAGTTGACATTTGAAGATTTGGGAAGAAGAGGATTGGAATAAAGTAATTAATCATTATTACAATGACAATGAACATTTATAATATATTTCTTTCATTCTTTCATTTCTAATCGATATAATTTTAGCATCTCTTACAATTAATCGCTATCCTGTGAATTGTCATCATCGTCAGATGCATCGCTCGTATCATTTGAAGAAATCTGACTTGATTCTGTAACTGAAGGTGGAATCAATAGTTCAACCGCGTATGGGGATAACGATCTTTGTTTCTTTGGAGGATGTTTTCGCAAACTGGATATTATTGGATCTGACATTACTAAAAGTTTGCAAAAAATGTCTTCCATGTTTTTGATGCGGTCACATTTTCGTAAAAAATTTTCTCGGAATCTTTTAATATACTTGTTACATGATTCCTGAGCTTCTTCAGACATTTGTCCGATAGGAAGTAACGAATTACAAACTTTACTATCTATCATTGTCAACACAAGTTTGAAATTGATGTTAATTTTTTTGCCGCCTATTACAATTTGAAAGGGCACAAGGCTTCTCTGTTGCGCTTCGATACAATCAACTTCTGCCCTAGTTGCTTCGGCAGTTTCGTGCAAGAATCCAATTTTAATTGGGCGACAAAATCTTGGCGACGAAGGACGTGGATTTTTCCAAATAATCACGTGTGGATTGACTCTATCAAAGATTTGCAAGGGAACAAGTGAAATAAAGAAAATGTTGGCATCCGATTTATTGCCTCCATCGCTAAATTTTTGTTTGTAAGTTCTTTGACCAGAAGTGCCATCGCATCCCCATTTGCATATCAATTCTAAATTATCAACTTTGTTTTCAGGAAGACTTTCAATAACGTCCGATTGTACCATTAATATTCTTTCAGCTGTATGATTAAGCAATGCTTGGAGTCCAACTGTGGCTCCACTTTCAGTTACAGAAATTTCTGACTTTGCAGGGTAACACTTTTTTTTAGAATCCAATACACATTTATAAGGCGGGTATAATTTACAATTTTTTTTCACGCTTACAGAACGTATTAATTGGTATTGACTTTTGGTCATTTTACCTTCTACTACAAGTGATAATGCTTCGTTGCCTGACAGCACATCTTCTGAAACGCGTTCCATAGATTTCCGGTACTGTGATGCTTTTGATGGACTGCCTTCTGTGACATCCCTAATTACCTTTGAAGCATGTAAATTTCCAGAAGCCCGGAGACCCATTTGTGTAGCGTAGGCCAATTCGTGGACAGTATGTTCTTTTCGAATCTTTTCTGTCCTCCTCCGTTTTGACCGATCACTCAAATGGTCCCAGCTTGTAGAAGGACGCCCCATTGTGTTTTCCATGGAAGTCTTCAAACCTTCATTTTCAATTGTGAAAGACACAGGAACGTTGAGCCACTGGTCGAATTTTTGGAAGAATTTGGTTTCGTTCCTGCTCACTTGTTGCCACCTCTTTTTGAATTCCGATACCAATCTACCCATGGCAGCTTTCAGACTTTTCGGCAAAATGTATGGATGCTTCAATTTTTTTGACACCTCCATTTCAACAATGTCAGTGACCACGTTGATATTTCCGTTCAATACCGATTTCACAAATATGAAAATTTCCTTTCTCGTGAAAGAAATTTCTTCGGTATTATCCAGATGTTCTGTAGAAAATGGAAAAATAACATTAATAGAAGAATTATCTTTACCAATTTTCTATAAACAATATTTCAGACGCGAAAATTACGAAAAACTGCAGAAAGTGCACACATCATCGCATAAAAATTATAACCGAAACCGAAGTTGCAACTAGTTGCAACTAATTTTTGGATATGTTTTGAAGAAATGTCTAAGCAACATTTTCCATTTGGTTAAAGAGCCGGGGTCGACAAGGGTTTTGACTTATTGCTTTTTCTAACACGACTTTTCAGAACATAACCAAGAAAAATACCACTACTTTTATTAATGACTTACTATTTCATACATTGTTAATAATAATTTCGAGTAAAACATTCAAATTGTGCTTACTTTCTGGAGAAGAACCCATTTTGCAGAATCCAAATCCGTTAACTTTTCGCGATTCAACACGCGTCTGAACTCTGTGTTATTTTCGACGCACGACGAGTGAACAATGCGGCAGGCCCCACACTCACGAACGGAATGCGTTCCTAAGCCAGGTAGGGAACTAGGGACGCTTCCCCTTTTTTAACGGTCATAATCATGGTGGAAGTGTTATCCCTTCCACCATGGTCATAATACATACTAGGTGTACCACTACTACTATTCCAACCATTAAAAGTCCCTAGAAAAAATAGTTTTTTTTTTCGACTTTTGGCCAGCTTTTGGGGATTTGGGACCACTGTGCGCCGGCAAATCAACACGGTGTAGAAATAATACGCGACAGCAACGCCAATGCTACGTTGCGGCAGAAAAGTGAAAAGGACACTGGTCTGGTCGTCGACGACGACGACGACGACGACAAAGATGTTTCTTAATCCAAAATTTCACAAAACTGACTGCATTGCAATTGCATTGCAATACCTCCACTCCTGGGGCACGTAGGAGAAAAGTAAAAACACTTTTATTATGCAAATCGTACCCAAGCTATCGATTAAGCGCAGTCTCAAGTTCGTCGGATCAGCCGTTGTTGAGATCCGAAAATCTGAGGGCCCGTCAACTCGTGTACTCGCGTAAACTTACACGGTCGGTCTCGCACGCGTGTACTAGCTATGCTTACACTTGGCGCGAGACACTACCGTGTCTCGTGATAATTGTCGTGTTTGTTATTAAGAGAAAACGTGTAAAGAGCGACGTTATACTTGTATAATCCCTATTATAAGAATATAAAGCGTGATATTAAAACTGTAATTTACAATCATGTACAGTTCGTCGGTGTGTTACATCAAAAGACAAAGGTGTTGATTTCTCGAGATTCCGAACATGACTAAAAAATTTCTGAGGTTTGAAAGGGGAAAAGAGTCGAAAAGTAGGGGAAAGTCAAGGGCGAAAAACAAGAAGTTAAATGGAGATTTAAGTTAGAGAAATAATGTGGTCATAAATTGAGTTTAAATTTTCTGTGTTATTTTGTAAATTAATGGTTTCGTCAGTTTTTTTATGTAAAACAACTCTGTCGTCAGCAAATACCGCACCACCTACGAACATGACTTTCATTGGTCATCTCCAAAAATCTTACACCACGAGAGAAACACAAGGAGAAGAGAGATTGCCGAAATTATGTAAAACATTTACAAAATGACAGAAAATTTAAACTCAATTTATGACCACATTATTTCTCTAATTTAAATCTCGAGAAATCAACACCTTTGTCTTTCGATGTAACACACCGACGAACTGTACATGATTGTAAGTTACAGTTTTAATATCACGCTTTATATTCTTATAACAGGGATTATACAAGTATAACATCGCTCTTTACACGTTTTCTCTTAATAATAAACACGACAATTAATAAACACGTCACACATTTATATAAACCGTACTAACTTTAATTGTAACTTTTAGATTACTTGAAAAGGACCAAAAACTGTGGTCGAAACGTTGTGAATTTCAACTATATTAAACTTGCCAGACATGGTCAAAAAAGTTCTCATGATTTTGAAAAATGTTTCGAACACAAGTTGTAGATCTCTTCGAAATGTGCATTTTATGTCCTATTCATTTTTACTGTACGTGTGATAGCTTTCGAGAAAATCTTATATCTGTCCTCCCATCTAATTGTAAGCATGTATCTTGCAGTATATACATATACGATTCCACGTGAGTGTTCAACTTTCTACGTGAAGCGAGATCCACTCCACACCTCAGACATGATTTGGGTAAGGTTATATCTTAACGAAATTGAGCCCCCCCCCCCCTCCGAAGATGGGCGGAACATACTGTTTCCACACATGTACTTCCATCATTGTACAGTTTCGATTTTTATTTTGTGTGTCTATTATAATTAACCCCCCCCCCCCACCTAATCTAGATGGAAAAATGTATGCATGGAGACGTTTGTGCACGTGCGTAAGTAAGAATATGTAAGTATGTAAATATGAAAGTATGTATATATGTAATGTATATATGTATATATGTAAATGCGTAAATAGGAAATGTAACGTCACCACTGTCGGTTTTAAGTCCGAATGATAAGAAGGAAAACATCTCGTCATACAATAAAAATTTTTCAAATAAGACAATTTCACGCTCTCAATTATTAATATATTAAATTTGATATAAATCAAATCTAGAAATACAAAATGATTCGTAAAAAGGATTACATAGTTAGAAAGTAATAATTGATGTATTATCGTAACTTCACGTTTTCATGCTTCCTATAACATTACAAAATATTTTGTCACAAGTGTTATAGTAAACGATACAATCTGATTAACGTTTTGCAATGCAATTGTTCTGTCTTAAATTAATTTTTAAATTATTGAAGCACATAACTAATAACGATTTCATAACGAGGCGAATAAGAATTTTATTCAGTTTATTATTTCAATCTACCAATTTTTCCTTAAGTCTGGCGTTATTATAATAATATTATTTTACAAAGAAAAAACACGAGGAAAAATAGAAATACAAAAACGATCCCCGAGCGGTCACATAACGAGCTAACAGTTGTATTTTCCTATCGTCAATGCTAAATAAGAAATGATAAAAAGTATTTAAAAATCAAGAAAACAACATATTCTTTAAGATGAATAAAAGATAATTGCATTGAATATTAAAATATGTCAAGGTGGGTCACAAGACAAGATGTAGGTAGACCAACTTGTAATTTTTATATTTAAAAATGTGAATTTATACACCGTTTCTTTCCACATTTGTCTTGCGTTCCGGTTTCTTTTCGGACATAACGCAGTTTTCTTATATTAAAATCAAGTGTGGCTCCAAGGAAGACAGGATTAATTACTCGACCTCTGACCAGCTTATCCATGTTACCTTTAGCTTCTTAAGTTGCTCGTACACAATAGATATGTATATTATTGCGCTATATTCATGTTATCGCATTAACATTACTGATAAATTGCATGGTACAACACATCAGTCGATTTGTGGCATAAGAGCATACGCCTGATTTAGATTTGTACACTAGCAATCACTGACGTTTTCCCATGTGAATTTAGGCACATGTAGAACACATACTTATACATGTTCCATGTATAATATGTATATGTAAAATATGCAAATTGTTTGACATGTTGATAAATTCATGTGGAAAGGCATTAGTGATTCCTAGTGTATGTACATACATGCATTTGCTATTGTTAAAACCCAAGGAGCGCCAATGCACGTATAATGCGCTCTAAATGTGCATTAAAATTCGCATTAAATGCGAATTGTACATGCACATTTAAAGCGCATTTGTCCCGCATTAAATGTACATTTAATGTACATTAATTAATGCGTATTCCCGAGTAGAAATTTCGTTCGGTTTACATCGGGAAAGTATCGGGCAAACCCAACCTAAACATCAGGAACTGATAATGTTCACCCGGTGATGAACTTATCTCAGCGTAACGCAGCTACCCGATCAAAAACTTATCAGGTTTACCTGACTGTTACCTGACTGTAGCCTAACCATAGCAAAAAAAATTTGGAATAGATTTTTTATTTGTTATTTTTATTCTCTCTACATCAGAATTAGTAACCTTCTAATCTCTTAATGTTATTTTATAATTAATAATATCATATGTGAAAAATTTGTTTTACCACTGCTGGATTCGAACCTGGGATCATCAGCTCTTCAGTCTTCTATCCTATGTCCTCGGCCACTCATATTCTTGTATTTAAGATAAAAGTTATATCTTTTATAAATGATTTCGTC